CCCCAAAACCCCAAAACCCCAAAACCCCGGCTACCAATTTAGAGTCTATGCAAAGAGTGATGAAATAAAGATTAATGTTAAAATCTTATTAGAAAATATTGCTATTAATCATCTTTTAGCTGTTTGGCTTTGGGAAAGAGTAGAAGCTGATAAGTTTTGAGATTAGGAGACAGATAATGAAGGCTGACTCTTCTGTTGCACGTATACTGCTGCATTTACATTATCTTTGGCTGATTTACCACAATAGTCCTAAATATAACTTAAATAATATATGCTTATACAGCTAAAATTGTCTTTTAGTTTTGAGGATATGGATACTAGATTTCATAGAAACTCATTAAATTTTGAACTATCTATTCATTAAGGTTTTTCTTTGGATCTAGCTTTATCAACTTTTCTATAGTCTCTATTGACTTTTGAGTCTCATTACAGAATCTATTAAATTATCAGTATAGAGTGCATGCTTACATTTGACAAGTTGCACTGTTATTCAAAGCTATTATATTCTGTGGTTTATGTGACAATATCTTTCTGAACTGCTCTATGGCACCTTAGAAGTTACCATCATAAATGAAAACAAAGCCTCTATAATGTTATTACAAATAATTCTATACTTATTGAGATAGCATAGAACTGCAAGATCTGGATCATGATCTGTATCTAGAAGCTATTCTATATCACCTTACTTCTTTGCTCCGGGGGAAGCACTATCTCTCATCATTTTAGCTACCTAGTTGAAGTAGTCATTCGCCTCTGTTTTTCTTCCTATTTCCAAACATAGTCTCCCCATTCTTGACAGAATATAAGGATTTAGTGGATATTTCTATAGAATGAGTTTTAATTACTTTGATTTTACTTTGACTAGCTTTTAAATTACTATGTAGGCATTTCTATAATCCTACTATCTTTGATGAATTCTGGTTATTTCATATATAAGCATTATGTATTTTGCCTCATACTTGTCCTTAGGTGGGAACAATCCGAATAGCTCATTTTACTCTTTTCTCAATAATTTAAGTGCTCTCTCTTTAGTTTCATTGTCGCCAGTATTAGCACCACCTCCTACATTAAAGTCAATGTTCTTGCCAGTTGCTTAAATTGTTTTTTACTGAGGGACTTTATCGAATACTCCAAAGTCATCATCTTCCATGTCTAGCACATTTGAAGTACTGAAATCAACTTGATTTGTATTAGCCTAGTTATTAGAATTATCGATACTCATTCCAAATGGATCGAATAATGAGTATGAAGCTGATTATTTTTTAAGAGTCTTATCAGTGTCAGCTAGTAATTAATAGAGAATCTTAAGAGCATCTTTGGTGTTTCTCATTTCATAAGAACTGCAAGCATTCAAATATCTCAATGGAAATGGTATATCCTCACTAATATAGAGCTTATTGTCAATACATATTAATGAGTATAATGATTGAGGTAGTAGGAATACTTACTCACTATCATTGACTGCAAACATTATTGACTTTTATAGTTTTGATATGATCTCCTCAGACAAGATCTTTGCATTTTGATACTCCTTTAGCTTGAAATACGTGTAAACCAAACACTCATTGTAGAATGTTATCTCCTCTTCAGTCATATGTCCATCATTGCTCACCTTAATTGAATTGTTAATTTGACTTTGAATACTAGCTTATTCTGCAGAAATTCAAGTGCTTTTTAGAAGCTAGCAGTTCTAAAGAACTATCTAATCTTTTCAATGTCTAGAATTAGATTTTCTGAGGTACTGGCTATTAGCTGATCTCCTTCACCGAAATTGCTTTATATGAGAACACCATCTGAACTGGCTACAGAATCAAATATAGTATTATAAACATACCAGGCATGAACTATTCAATATCATCATTCATGGCATTAGCGTTTGCGGCCTCTTCTTCAGATTCCTCTTCATCCTCACTGTTTGAGTCATCTCTTACTTGGATGTCCCCCTCTTAAAAATACTAGTATATATCCTCTAAAATAACAGATTAAAATTTCGAGATTAATTATGAGATTTATAGATGAAAGATTACCTTATTAGCTTTACTCTTCCATCATTTTAAGATTTAAAATCAAATTTATTATATCTTTTTATTTAATCAAATTATGTTTATTGCTGATTCATTTCTTTCATTGCCAATGCTATCCCTAGGGGTTTTGGGGTTTTGGGG